TGTGTGTCCATGTCACCTCAGGATTAACCAACCCCTCCTGCCCTCAAGCCTAATTTTGGGTGAACCACATCTATGGCATCATCTTCTTGTCTCTGCTTTCCAGTGACTTCAATAGCAAAAGGAGTATTAATATGTAGCACATCTCGAGCTCTCATGAAACCAAATTCTGCCAAGTTCTCTTGTTCCTGGGTTTCTCATGCAAAAGCACCTTTCTCTCCACTACCAGGAATGTTCAGATGCCACCCTGACTTAGGGGCATTTAACCACTGCCTCCCTCGGCCATGTGCTGTCTCCTGTTCCCTCTGGGTAAAGTAACCCCTCTTCCTAGTGCATTCCTTCTGCTGCAGGCCAGCACCTCAGAGTACTTGACAGTCTTGAGCTTGTATGCTTTGTCCCTGCACATGCACCATGCCCCGACTCCTGGGACCCAAAGGCTCAGGTTGGCTTGTTTTGTACCAGACAGTATTCAGTAAGCAGTAAAACCAGCCTGCCTTTACAGATCAGGGTCTGGTTCTACAAGCTGACAGTTTCTCTTATGAAGAGCCCAAGGCCAGTGCAACGTTAGAGATGCATCTTGTCCCAGACAGGACAGTGAAATGAATCCTTTACCTGAGCACAGGAAGATTCACCAACTCCCATAAGCATAGCCAGAATCCCACCCACTCTGGCTCTGAAGGTGACAAAGCCTGGCATGATTTTAAAGAACAAAACTTCCAAAAATTTGCTTAAAAATACAATGATACAATTTTGCCTATAAATCAGATAATAATAAATACCTTAAATGTTTTCCAAAATAAACACCCATTTGTGAGCACTCTACCTACATCCCCAGCCCTTAAATATCTGTCTCTACCTTTGGCTTTAAAAGGTTAACTCCAGATTAGCTTTTGTTTCATTATGGATGTATATTTGACTTCTGGAGAAGTCTCCAGATTGAACTTTACACTTGGAAAGTGGAGTTTACATTAAAAGAACACTTTTCTGGTAACTAACTTTTGTCTAGGGACAGATTCCTTATTAAAGCTAAACGTTGGGCATCCTCCCTCAACAGCACAGGTCGGGCTGAGGCACACTATGTTGTGGTTCTTAAGTGTGCTTTGTCTTAAGGGAAATCAGGAAAGCCAGCATTTCTAGGGAGGGATCATTGAAGGTCTGCGGTTCTTTGTTATTCTAAAATAACTATTGAGTTTGAACTGAAAGAGAAAATTGCAGAAGCCTAAAGACCAGCTGGAAAAGTTCAAAGGGGGCTTTCTCATCAAAACCTTAATGGCTTTAGAGTCAGGGCTTGGGGACAAGGAATTGGGGAGTGTGGTTATCAGCTGTCAGGCACCTATTGTGGAGATTTATGACACAAGCCACTGGCCTTAATTTGTTTCCAGCTCCTCCAGCATCTGAGACTGGGGTTCTACTTTTAAAGGGCAGCCAATCACGTGCATAAAATTTGCCTGGTGTTTAAGCTGCTTAAATTTCATGTAAAATTTTACATCCAGTCATGTAGCCTTAGTTACAGCATTAACAAGTATGATCCCCATCTACTGAGAAAAATTTTACATCCAGTTATGTAGCCTTAGTTACAGCGTTAACAAGTATGATCCCCATCTACTGAGATTAGAGGCATATACATGGTATGTAATAAGGTTGTTTTCCACTGTGTAGGTAAAACACAGTTCAGTTCTATAGGACCGATCACACTCTTAATACACAGAGTTAAAGTCAGCAAAGTTTAGTCCCCCTGAGTCATAGCATCTTCCTATACAAGTGACTGCTGAGATGCTGCAAGTTCTGAACATCTTTAGATGGCTCAAGTGTTCAGAGGAAGTCAGGTGGCATTTAATTGTTCTGAATTTGGACTTCACAAATGTGACTTGGTGCTTTCTAGTTAAATCTCCACTGAAAAACCCCAGCTTTATAATAAATTCTAAATTGCTGTGGTGATTAACCTGGACCGTCTCATTGTCTTACAAAAGCAAAGGCTCCTGACATTGTTTCTGGTTTTCCTTTAATAAAATCTCAAAGTGCTGTCGACCTGTGGAAACACTTGTTAAGCCATATGTGATTTAGAACTGTGGAAAAACCAGTAATTTGGTACCTAGTCCGAAATGAAAGACAATTTTGATGTATTCTTTAAAGCAATATTTTTAAATTAAAGGATTCAGTACTGGACACTATAGGTTACACTTATGTAGAAATTCCCATGACCTAATAAATGTGGCACTTCCTTTAACTGAGGCAGTAGAATTCTACTCCAGTCAGTAAGCTTTTTTTTTTGTCTTTTTTCCTAACAATAATCAAAATTAAGTGCCTACTCTCTAGAACAGGGGTTAGAGTCCAAAGAGGCAGAAACAATCCTACAGAAAATAACTACATTTAGGAAATGAGGCTATGGAAAGTATTTTGTAGTAAAACTAATCCAATCAAGAGGCCAACTAAGGTTAACTGGAGTGTCTTGATTCATTCAGGGGGAAACAAATCCCTCCACCACCCAATATTCTTCAGTGTGTAGTATTTAGAAGAGATCACTATTTCTCTGAATACTTTAGTAAAGAGAATCAAACTGTTAAACCAGTGAAATATTGTTAAATTTGGAAAGCTAGACGTTGTCAAGAGGAGCAGACAAGTGAAGGGTGTTAGGAAGGAGACTGTGCAGCATGCAAACCCTGCCCCCAAGTTCATCCACAGAACAGTGAAGGGTTGGATATGACCATGTCTCTTCCTACTCAAGCAATGACTCAGTATGATATTTCCCTCTGTGTGCACGATGTGTACTACTTAAATCAGGTAGTTAGTGCTGCTATCTCTTTCTCCCTTCTTCATAGCCGAACTTTCAAACTCCTTCCTAGCTGTTCATAAACTATGTAATCAGTTAGATTAGGTTTTCTCGGCTGTAACAAGTGCCAGAGATAGCCATTATGATAAGAACACAGGTCTAATTTAGTTTATGTGAACAGTTGGCTCTCATCCTTTGGGTCTGTGGCATGGCAACAGATCATAGCTGTCTTCCCAACATCCATGTGGTGGCTCACAACCACCTGCAATTCCAGTTCCAGGGATCTGTTACCCTCTCATGGACATCACAGGCACTAGGCAGGCATGTCACACACAGGCACGCGCGCGCGCGCACGCGCGCGCGCACACACACACACACACACACACACACACACAAATGCAAGCAAAAATGCCAATACACATAAAGTATTAAAATAAATACTAAAAAAAGATTAATTTAAAAAGTGATTGTGGAAGGTGTGCTCCACTGTATCCATGAGACTGAACTGAAAGTATTGCAGGTTGAAAGTCTGCTGCTTCACGCTATATAGCAAGACTCTGTCTCAAAATCCAAACTCACAAACAATAGACAAACCAACTAAAAGCTGAATTCTCTAGCACCAACTTTAAGCATAAAATAATGCTGTGTATATACTGCATTTTATGTAGCTGCATCCATAGCATATGTTGTTGCTTCTGCATGACAATCTTAAGTGCTTCAATAAGAATTTCATATCCATTGAGTTCTGGGGACTGAACCGAGGACATTGCATGCCCCAGGCAAAAGCGTTACCAAGGAGTTGCAGCTCTGGCCCTGTATCTACTATGTAGTGACTGAAAGGTTTTGTAGTGGTTTGATGTGGTACACTAGCGTAAGCCTTGGGTTTTTCATATCTGGGGCAATGATGGGAACTATTACAATGAACACTTCCTTAGAATTCTATTTCAGCTTCTTTGGGAGCAAAACTCCCATGGAAGACTGGCAGGGCCAAGTGATAAAACAGCCTTTTGCCTCTTGCGTTCATTGCGGAAACCTTCCTGAGAGGTTAGACGTCAAACAGGAGAACCAGTTTCCCTGCATTGTCTCAAGTGCATGGGGCATTGCCTTTAGTTTTCAGGAGTGAGATTTGGTAAATCAAAGTTACTCTTGTTTTTACTTATTAAACTTGTAGAGAAAACAGACTATGTTTCTCCCCAGATTCTTTCACCTTGTGAAGATTTTCAGTCAATGGACCTCTTGACATTTCTCCATCTCGTTTTTTTGTTTTTTTTTTTTTCCTCTACCATTGCTCTCTTTGTGTAGACTCAAAGGAGAGGAAACCAAAATGAAAACTGTGCCTTTAGCTGTGTTTGTTATTTAGGCTTTGTCCCCCTTACTCTTTTCCAGAAAGACTTAAAAGGTATTAGTGATGCCTTTGTTTATAAACCTCATAGATCAAAAGCAGTTGAGAGATAGGTGTGGAGTGATCAGCTGATAACCAGTTCTTTCGTTTACTCAATAGAGTAGCTCTCACATTAGAGAGATCACACACAAGGTTCATTTTCTCCCTAGAGGCTCCCAGCTCCATTTAGGTAGGAAGGTGGGAGGAGAGGGGAAGCCAATGAAAAACGCTATCTGTTTGTTCTCAGGAATGGAGTGGAGTCTAGTGGAAAGGGGGGTGGAGAAGGAATATTTGTTTTTCTTTGAGTGGTTATAATTAAAGCCTTCCACCCAATTGCTCTGTGAACCAGAAAAAGGTATTTGTGAAGGTTTGTGTGTATGTGAGAACATTGCAGCCCTCTATAGAGAGAAGCTTGCTCTCCAGCGACACCTTGTGGTGAATAATTTCTTAAAAACTATTTTTTCTTTGTTTTTCTTTATTGATATTTTCTTTATTATTATTATTATTTACATATCGGATCGATATGTAAAAAACAATATTTTTATTATTGGACAGCATATGCAAGGTATTTTGATTCTGTTCACCCCCCTACTACCTCCTTCTCAGCTCCACCCCTCCCTGTTGTATGACTTTCTTGGCTTCTTTCTGCTTCGCAACCTCCCATCCTGAAAGAAGGAGAAATTTTTCAAAGACCGCATCGTCTGTGTAAGTCAAACCGTCACTGAGAGACTGTGTTCCAGGGTTGCATATTAACTCAAGCAGTATTCTTTTTAGAGTTTCATAGTTTGTGGATTGTTAAGGCCATTCATTCAAGAAAGCAGTAAAGTAAGGTTTGACATTCTTATTTTCCAGGTGGGAACAAGTTAACCAACCAGCATTTTCGACTGAATTGGGCATGGATCTCCTTCGAAAAGGAGTATTACTTGATCAACGAAGATTCCAAATTTCTTGATATTGTTCTTAAACGCAGAGGATACCTGGGAGAAACTTCATTTATAAGTAAGTTTAATTTGTACTTCCATGTGTTTACATTTTTTTCTCTAGTGATTAAACTACAGCACTAATTTAGAACACTGATCTAGGTTAAAATCTTAGTGAGTTGTTGATATTTGATTTTTAACTACTTAGAGATTATATCAAGTGCTTTGTGTCAAGGTGCATGAGTGTGACCTTTCTGTGGTGTAAAATACATTCACAAAATTGGAAGTAATCGTAGATGAATTAAAAAGTAAAGTCAAATGTCACCAGGTTAGAATAAACTAATAAGAATCTAATTTATCCCCAAGGTATAAATCAGATGCTTTAATAAATAAGCAAAATGTATTCAGGGAGTTGCAGGGCACCAATGTGTTAACTCACCATGTGTTGAGTTTGAAGGCTCTGTAGCCTTCACCATGAACTGACTAGTACATATTAAAATGTTACATGTTAAAACCTAGTCATTTTCTTCTGCCTTATTTAATAAAACCAAGAGTCAACAGCATATGAATAAAACCTTTCTTCAGCTCTGATTCGAGGCCACATTTCATTTCATGTACTCATAAAACAGGGAAGTGTATGCCACAGAGGTAGACAGGGTTGATGCCCAATACTGAGTACCTTGATGAAAAGTGACAGTGTACCCCGAGCAATGATACCATTTTGAGAACCACACATTTAATAGAGTGGTTAGCTGCCGAAGAACTTTGGAAAAGGGAATTATTAATCACAATAGGAAGCTAGGAAAGGATTGGCAAAAATAAAAGGGTTGTCTGTGAAATTAATACTTTGAAATTGCACTAGCCTGTCACCCCTTACACATTAGGTCCCTATTGATAGGGAAGTCCCTCCAGTAAACACGCTGTTCTTCCCTGACATGTTTGGACTCTGGATATTAAAAATAGGGTTTTTATTTGTCTTTTTTTCTATTGAAAAGAGGCCTGTCCACCTTCAGCCTGGGCAGCACCTCCTGGTCCTTCCTTTGCTGCTCTTCCACAAGGCTGCTCTGCACATTCTATTTGACTTTCTCGAGTCCAGTACATGCTCATACCGCTCTCCTTCATAGGGACTCGGTCTCTCTGCAAGTGCTCCCCTCTTTGCACATCTCTGTGTTACTGTCAGCGAGAGGTCAGTTTCGACTGTGCCTTGGGCCTTAAAACACAGGGAATGAGCTGCACTGGCAATAAGGGACAGTAGAGAACCTCAGCACTTATCAACGATTCTGCTGTCTATGTGCAGTCTGTCCCCTTTATTGGAAAGTTCATGTGATTCGAGTTCACAGTTATCTCCATAGGGAGAACGCTGAGAAAGTTACCCATTGAAAGTATTTTAAAGACTTCCAAGTCTGAATTTTTTTTTTCTCTATTCTTTTTATTTTAATCTTTTTCAGTGTAATGCTAATGCATCTTCCTAAGTTATTTGTTCGGACCAACTGTAGTTTCCTATGACTGTGACTACACCAGCTCTCCTTGGTTCACCTCACACTTTGTAAACTGAGGTGGAAGAATATTAGAAAGACCCTGTGTGTCCACATCTCCCCATGTGTCCACGTTTCCCCCGTGTGTCCATGTCTGCCATCACTGAATATGGTCCTGAAGTTATGCCAGGGCCTGGATTAGAAGTTAAGTAAAACACAAAGCAGACTTATAGAAATCTACAATGCAGGTGCTGGTCCCATAAAATTTCCATTTCCATGTTTGGACTTAAGAATGCATTGTAGCTGCAGAGAGAATATCACTTGAGTACAGTTAGTAAATGAATAGTTATGTAAGGTGTTTAATACATTATCCCAGAGATGACTCTTCATCTTGTAACCCAAGTTAATTCGCGTTTGCACTCCTGAGACAGAACTCCTGGTCAAAGTAACTTAAGGGAAGGAAGGAAGGAAGGGAGGGAGGGAGGGAGGGAGGGAGGGAGGGAGGGAGGGAGGGTTACCCAAAGGTAGCAGTGATTGGAGAGAGGCAGGAGTGACTCCAGCTGTGTCAGCCTGAGAGAGGGCTGTTCAGATCTTGGTTGATCAGAAAACAGAAAGAGCTAGACCAGCCATGGGGGCAGAAATAACTTTCAAATGCCTGACCCTAGTGACCTGCTTCTGCCAGCCAAGCCATATAACCTTTTAAATAATGCCAGCAGATGCTGCCTGCACATTCAAAGCATCAGATAAGAGGGATGTTTCATGTTTAGACCATAATGAACTTCTTAAAATTAATTCTTACAGTTGACATATAAAGTACTGGGTTTTGCTATGGCATTTTCATGCATGCACGTCATGCTTTGTTCTTGCTCGTCTTCTGCTACTGCCCTCTTCCGACCCTCCCTTCTGCTGTCATGTGACGAGAATTCTGTTAAACTCACTTCCTCAGCTCCCCTAAAGATCTCCTTCTTTCTCTTAGTCTCCTTAATGCTTTCACAGGTTACACACCACACACACACACACACACACACACACACACCTATGTAGCTGGAGTTTTCTTGTCCTGCCAGGTCCTGCTACCCTTCAGTCCCAAATAAGCACACAGAGACATAGTAATTTCTAAACTGTTGGTTGATGGCTAAGACTTCTTATTGGCTAGCTCTCTCTTAATTATTAGCCCATAACTATTAATCTCAGCTTACCAGAGGATGCCCGGACCTGTTACTCCTTTGGCGGCTATATGGTGTCTCCCCATGGTTTACTACTTCTCCTCCCTAGCATTTTCCTCATCTCCTAGCCCTGCCCATCTTTCTGTCTCTACTGGTCAAACCGTATTTTATTCATCAACCAATAAGAGAAACACATATACAGAAAGACATCCCCCATCATATTTAGATTTCACATTAAAGAAAACCCACGTGCTTGCCTCTCTGCTGCTTGCTTATTTCATTCACCATAATGACTTTCAGTCCTGCCCATTACATTATCGTGTAACTGTCTTGATTCCTTTTTCTTTACGGCTGAATGAAATCCCATTGTGTCTGTGAACCACAATTTCTTTATATGCTATCCTTTTCATGATTATCTAAGCTGCCTCCATCTCTTAGCAGCCAATATCTCTGTGGTGCATAACAAGCTCTTATAATCAACTAAATGTGCATTTGTATTTGATGATAGTCTTTGCATCTCAAGGATCTCACTGCTACTAGTTATTAAACATCTATCAATGGCAAGAAATATGCTGAGTGTTTTATCAATATCTCTTTCTCCTCACAACCCTTCACTAGCTCCCCTAAGGCCTTGAGTCCTGGCTGTGGTGCTGCATTAGGCAATGGGTCTATAAAATGAAAACAGTAATTCATGCTGAGTCTTTATACATGCCAGGCCTAGACCCCAGTACCCTCCAGGTCTTAATCCCACAAGAAAAATACCAATTCATCTTCTGCTTCACAGGGGAGCAAAGAAAGAAAATGTGATATTCCCAAACATTCAAGGTCCTAGGGCCCACACTGATAACCATTTCACCAGAGTGTCTCATAAACTGATATTAGTTAGCATAATGAGAGGGATGAAAGTCCATCTTCTCAATCCAAGAGGCCTTGCTTCAGCCCTGCACTATTTTCCTTGTAGCATCTGTGCTATGATCTGTTCCATGAATCCGGCAAAGGCCTAGAGATTGAAATAAGAGACAAGACTGTGGGTCCTTCGTTCAATGGCGGAACTCCTAATGTGAATACCCTTTATTGAGGGGATAGGGTAGGCTTAAATACTGACTTACAGCACAGTGGAAAAATAACAGGATTGTCAGGCGTGTGTTAGCCTCCCCACCAGGTGTGTGTTAGCAAAACAGGAAGAGTACCAATGACAACTCCAGGGGGCAGGAAGAGTCCCAATAACAGCTCTGTGGCAAGGAGTTCCAGCCAACAGCTTCAGGCTTGCTCAAGGTGCCTCGGGATCCATGCAGGGCCCTACATTTCCCTGTGAGAGAAGACGCAAAAGTAGCTTCATTTAACAACGGAAGTAAACACTTGTGGGTGTTTTCAGTAGCCACAATGGGGATTTGGTACTGCAACCTGTATTTCATCAGGTGAAAGCTTTTGCTGTCCTGTGAAAAACGTGGCTGAAACTGGAGGAAATGCCCTGTATTATACGAATTCCTTTTGGGCTTTAAGTGTCCTTTGAATCTTCTGGAAAGAGTTCATTACTGAATCCAGCTGAGCAGGCAGCCGCTGGCAGACCGACTAGCAGGGTTCTGGTGGTCATGCTGTGGTGATTGTAGTGGGTCCAAGAGACACTGACTGTCCCTCTGTGTGCACTGGGAACAAGGCATTAATGAGAGATCTGCGGAACTCACCAGATGCAGAACTGTGACTACCATTTGGGCCCTTTGACATTAAATAAGCCATGCTGTATATGCTATTGAAGCAGATGCATATGTGAAATATTTACCTGTCTGGTATTATTCCGAGGACTCTAAAACAAATGCTTTTAATAAAAATCTGTTTCCATCTTCATTTTAAGACTAACAGCCTGTGATTGATATATATATATATATATATATATATATATATATATATATATATATATATTTCAAAGTAATCTGTTTGTTGGTTGGTGTGTTTGAATACAAGGTTTCTCTGTTTACCCTTGGCTGCCCTAGAACTCACTGTGTAGACCAAGCTGGCCTCACATTCACAGAGATCCGCCTGCTTCTGTCTCCCAAGTGCTGGGATTAAAGGCGTGCACCCCCACCACAGGGACAAAGAATTCTTATATAAGCACTCCAAGGCAATTTGTTTTGTTTTAGTCTCTGGTAGAGATTCAACAATGAGGGTAGAGCCAGATGCCCAGCAATGAAACAAAGAAATGAGGGAATGGTCCTTTTTATTCTAAAGCAAATGAATTCTGTTGTCTCTGCAGGCATCAGCACGAGGGATGGGACTGCACAAAGAGACAGCGACTTCAAGGGCAAGGCCCAGCGACAAGTGCAGTTCAACCCTGGCCAGACCAGGGCCTTGTGGAGAGTGCGGATCTTGGGCGATGAGGTGCATGAGCACTCAGAGACCTTCCAGGTGGTTCTCTCTGAGCCTGTGCTGGCAGCCCTGGAGTTCCCCACAGTGACCACTGTGGAGATCATTGACCCAGGCGACGGTAAGCCTGACCATCATTTTCCTTATGTCATTGTTGATGAGCTTTTAGGACAAAGCACCTTTCTTATAAAGGAGTTTAAAGCCACTATTTGAACTCTCTACCCAGAGAAATTTCTATATTCTTTAGAGTTCTCAGGTATATTGATGGGAAGAGGGAAATGTAACAGTAATGATGAGAAGCCATATCTCAGGTAATGTAACTGCAGTATTGTTAATGCGGGGTCTTAGTACCAATGTGCTTGTTTCTTCCGTTTGTGTGTCATCGGTTCATCAGCTTCGAAGTCTTCTGGTGTCTTAGAATACCTTTTAAGCAAATGGTTTGAGGGTCAGACTGTTCCAAGCTTAATTTTTCCCCTGTATTGCATCTTATCATTTCTGCCTTTGTGGTATGGCACACACCCCGATGCTCCCGACCTCCCCACTTTCTGTGGTGAGCTGTCCTGAGCCTCCGCTCTGAATTTCTCTTCCATCACTTTCTTCATCAGTGTATGTGCGTAGCTGACATTGTGAAAATGAACATTAACGTTCTTGTAAATTGACCTTTCCCTGCCCCTTGCATACAATCCTGGTTTGTCGTGCTGTGTATTTGAGTTGAGGGTAGGAGGTGAATGGCTTTTTTGAGGTCTGGCATTTACACAAACCTCATCGAGACTTCTAAGTTGAAATGCTGTCAGAAGCCAGACATGACTTTCTTTCTTTTAAACTGCCAGTCTGCTTTATTTTGTCAGTCCGAAAATTCTTAAATGCTCTACAAAGATACAATCTGCTGAGTTCATAAAATGGGGACTCGTGCAAATCCCTGTGTTAAAAGACTCAGCATAATTAAAGAGGCCGGATCAGAACCAGGGGCTCTGGTGCCCTGAGCTTATCTAATTCTCTGCCTTCAGTCAAATATGAAGTTCCTTTACATTTATAATCTTTATTAGAGAACATTTAACATTAATTGCATCTGCTTTATCTGTAAATAAACAAACTTTCATCTAGTCTGCAGCTTTGGGGATATCCTTTGTAAACCCCCATGACAACTTTAATACGTGTTAGCTGCTCCATTAGCTTAAGCTGGAAGCTAGCTTTTGAGATTTTATTTGCTATTTAGTAAAAATGCTAACGTCTACCTTAAGGGATAAGACTTAAACTTACTTGTGCATTCCTAACCATAGGGTAAGATATTTATCTCTACCAGTGACATGTCTGAGCAATGGGATTTTAAAACAAAGGCAACACACACACTTGAAAACATATACATACGTACCTACTGACGCACATACTACATATATTTGTACATACGTACACCTGGAACCTTACGAGCAGTAACACAATCAATCTCATATGAAGCCACCATAGCAATTATCCTGCTTTCAGTCCTCCTTATAAAAGGCTCATTTTCACTTCAATCCCAGTATAGCTGTTATTAACATCATGACCATTAGCCATAATACAATTTATCTCAACCCTTGCCGAAACTAATCGACCCCCATTCTTTGATTTAACAAAAGGACAATCAGAACTAGTTTCAGGCTTCAACACTGAATATGCCACAGAACTGTTCACACTATTTTTCATAGCTGAATATACTAATATTATTCTAATAAATGCTCTATCAATTATTGTATTCTTGGGGCCCACTGTACCTTATCCAGTAGCGCTCCCACCTACTATAACCCACGTCGGATTTTACACTATCAATTTCATAATCAAAACAGGGGGCTGCTAGTGATCCTTCAACGGCGCCCCCACCGCCACCATGGCAAGTTTAACCTCAAAGTTACTGCTGCTGTTAAGAAGTCTGCCCTCTCTTTATTCTTGTTTTCCTCTTTGGACTACAGGCTTCAAGTTACATGGAAATGTAATTTATTGATACATTCAATAGACATGTGAATCTATGAGTCTGGGAGTTGCCACTAACCATGGTCTACATTAACTTGGTTCACTTTAGAAGAAAAAACAAAACAAAGTGTGAAAGAAATGTCAAAGTTCAAACATCAGTGTCAGTATTCAGACATTTCTGCACTGAGTACACTTGTTGGTTGGTCTAAAGGCACTACAGTGGCCTGAAGATGTACCGGAATGCCTTCTGAGTTGTTTTCAAACATGCCAGCTTCCTTCAAGGCGAGGAACACTCATTGCTTTCATTCACGCCCCAAGTTCTCTTTCATGTATTATGACAGACTTTTAGAAGATAATCAGTTCTGTCATGTTTTTAGTACTTTTTCATCAATACAGTTCAGTGGAGAGAAAGGACAGGATGAATATTGTCTCTCAACTGTGGTTCCAACTTTATTTCTGAGAATTGAAGTTGCTTTTTTTGTTTTTTGTTTTCCAAGTTGTAGCATAGTCAAAACTCACGGTCACCAAGAAGAGTACTCATAATGGTGTAGTCATATTGATGGATAAAGGATGCATTCACTTCATCTAGGCTTATATTTCAAAATAAAGAGTATTCACATTTACCTGGAAGTGGGAAAACCGCTCATATTTATTGTCAGAAAGATAATCCAGTAACACCATAAGAGTGGAAAAGAAGAGAGGTATGAGGGGTCAAAGGGACCCTAGACTTCTTCACTTTTTCCTCTACAAACCTGAAAGTAGCAAGAAGTAAAGAGTGTTCATTTTTCAGTCATTTATAATCCTCCTGCATGGAAGTGGCCATGGCTAGTGTTTGAGAGTATGACCCCACAGTTGCCTTTTCTCCTACTGGTTCCCATAGAATTTACTAATCTCATAATTTAGCCCTTACTTCTTCTTTTGCATGGACCGTGGTAGTTTCAGCCTGTTGTGTGAATGGGCTTTCATGTGGGTACTTTTATGATATATGCCTTTGTATGCTCTCTGTCTATTCTATTGTATGCTAGTCATGGTATCTCCTCTCAGAGTTTTACAGTATTCAATTATATACATGGATTAAAAGAAAATGTATAGGAAGTTCTCAACTCTTTAAAGGAATCATCTAAGTACTTGCTTCTAGCTTCCTTTTAACCTTCCTCCCCGCTCCCTGCCTTTGCTCCACCTTAACCATGTTTTATACCTCTTGACATTAGTCAGCTTCTCCTCTTCCTCATAAGCTAGCAGTGCCTCCCTCACCCCGCATGGCCTCTTTTGGGGAGAACACTGGGCAACCATGGCAGTTATGAACAAGGGCTCTGAGATGACTTGTCTGAGTTCAAGTACAGTGTCAGTGCCTCCCGACTGCCTTCAGTAGGTTATCTGGTTGTGTGTGTGTGTGTGTGTGTGTGTGTGTGTGTTATCCTCAGAACTAAAATGCAGGTCACAACAATCCTTACCTCAAAGATTATTGCAAAAATAAAGCCAGCTGATACAGGTGGAGTGTTTAGAATCCACCTTGGCAAATAGTAAGACTCTGTTGGTGTTAGCTAACTGCATTTAAAGACTGATGCATGAATGGTGTTTTTCAACATTTTCACCTATAAAAAGTTGTGCTTACTTAAGGCAGTCTGTGTATACATTTCTGCTGTGTGTGTAAAGCAACGTTAGAAAATCATGTTACCCTAAATGGCAATTGGAGAAATCTTTATTCAAGTGTCTTTCTGATATCCTTTCACGGTTTCTCCCACAGATTACATAATTATGTGAAAAATTAGGTCAACAGAAGATCTGAACTTGATACGGGCATATTTACCCTCTGTCAGATCAACTGTAGGAGTGAATTCCAGGTCTGAGGCCATTTTCTGGACACACAGCTTTCTTCTCTATTCATATTTCAAGCCCATAGGCAGAGGAGGAGAAGTCCTGACTTGTGTAATCCAATGTGCTTGGGTTACAAGGTGCAGAAGGAACCAAACTGTAAGTCCCCCAGGTTTAAATCCTGCTGGGGCTGCATAATTAAAACCCTATGCATGCAGCTTCCCTCAGAACATACTTGAAAACAAAACTGGCCAGGATAAATTTGCAGTGTAGAATGAGTATTGTTGATTAACCCTGGTTTAATCAGCTCTGGCTTTTGTAACAGAATATCATAGATTGGGTGACTTTAATATAACAGATAATAATATCCATTTGTTCCTCACAGTTGTGGGGGATTAATCTGAGCTCAAGGTGCAGGGCAGGAGTAGAAGGCTTGCTTAGTGTCTTTGAACTAAGATAAACCCCTGACTCTGTCTCCAGCAATGCTAAGACAAAACCAACAGATCAAGCTTGGGCTAGTATACTCAGTCCCTGATGAGGGTCCTCCAGGCTTACAGACAGTCACCTCCCAGGTGTGTCCTCAGTATATCACTCAGCATTCTTTGCCTGCAAGGTGGGGGTGGGGGGAGCAGGGAGAGGAGAGAAGAAACAGGGGGAGGGGAGGGGAGGGGAGAGGAAAAGAGTGTTCTGTGTTGCTTTTATAAGAACAGCAATCCTTTATGGGGTCTCCACACTCAATGACCTTGCTTAAAGCTACACACTTGTCAAGGCCCATCTCCTCCACCATCACATTCAACATATGAATTGCGAGGTACACAAACATTAGCACAGAGCAAGCTTTGAGTAATGTTTCATAGAAAGGTTACAGAGAATGTGGCCTGAAGACCTAAAATCAGCAACCCGCAAGTGAATTCCCATGAGTTCATGGGGTGGGGGAGGCCCCTGAGGTTCACTGGACAGTTTAATGTTGCTTAGCATTTTATGTGGTTTTGCACTAAAATCAGAATAATTTTTATAATAAAATTTTGTATTTGATAAAAATCTTAATAATTACATCTGTAATCCTTATGTGTTTTTATTTTATTGGTGTTTTGCCTGCATGTGTCTGTGTGAGGGTGTTGTATCCTGGAATTACAGTTGTGAGCTACCATGTGGGTGCTGGGAATTGAACTTGGGTCCTCTGGAAGAGCAATCAGTGCTCTTAATTCCTGAGCCAATTCTCCAGCCCCTATAGCTGTAATTCTTAGCATTGTAAAAACTTGCCTTAAAAATAAACCAACAAGGACATTTCTCAACTTGCTACTTGGGCCCCCTCTAGGGCAGGGCTGCTTAGGGCAGCAATGCCTCTTCCCAGTGAGCAGCTGCTTCAAGCTGCTACCCTGTACTCCGTGCAAAGTGCTGGTGATGATAACCAAATTCTAGTGTCTTCCCATTGAGTGGGATCTCAGTTCTCCACTGACTAGATTCCTTATCAGTATCTGAAACAGTTGCTCGCATTGCATCACGACCCTTCTCAGCCTCTGGTTTCCAGTTTTGTTTTTTTTTTTTTTTTTAATCTCTGATCCATTGTGTTCATCTTTAGTCCTCCCAGATGTGATGGTACTCTGACTGGCGCTGCATATATCATACATCTATATGTTTCCAGTCCTGCCTTTCCACTGAAACCCAAGATAATATGCCCAAAAGGCCACTTAGACTTTTCCACTTGGTTACTGAAAGGATATCTCAATTTCAGTATTCCCAAAATGTAACTTCAGGTTTCCCAAATCTGACCTCCATATTCTGTCCCCCACTTTTACAAACAGCAACTTCATCTGTAAAAGAATGACCGAAAGGTTACACTTGGAGTCATCCTGGGTTCCTCAGGTTCTTTCGTATATCTGAGAAAACTTCATCAGAAAACTCTTGTGAGTCTTTATTTCTGATACATCTGTCTCGCATCCACACCCACAAGTATCAACTCTTGATACCTCCTGGTCCTTGTGACCTGTGATCTCCTTCCTGGATGGTTGCAAAACCTTAAAACCAAGGGCTTCATGTCAGCGCCTTCTACTTCATGTCTATCATGCAACAGCTGAAACTGAAGTTCATCAGAGTACAGCATCACAGAATCCCCACCAATGTCCAATCCTTTCTAATGAATTCGCCTGAAGATACTGGATGTAAAAAAGATTAGACTAGACTGACTACATGTTAAAAGTTGGGAACCACTTTCTATAGCATTAAGGAAGTGAAATAACCCTGTAGCAGAAACAGATATGGTCAGCACTTGAGCTGATAGTTTCCCTAACTGCTGTCCCTAATTCTAATTCTGGGCCAATCTGAAAAACCTAGATGTGCACTGGGGTGTCCTCCTTCCTGCTTACGTGCTACAGCTTCCCATGCCACGCAGCCTCCCGTGATGGCATACCTGATTATTTCTTTCCCACAATTACATGTTCCCACTCTTTTACCTGCTTTCAAGTCTATCTAAACACAAATGAAGAGCTAGGGCTGTAGTCTGTTGTAGACTGCTTGCCAACTGTACTGGCTAGTATTTTGTCAGTTTAACTTGAGCCAGACTCATTTGGGAAGAGGGAGCCTCATCTGAGAAAATGTCCTCATCAGATTAGCATGTGGTACATTTTTACTATCTTTATGATGTGGGAGTGCCTAGTCCATTATGGGTAGTGCCAGCCCTAGTCAAGGTGGTCCTGGGTTTGTACAACAAAGCAGATGGAGCAAGCCAAGGGAGTAAGCAGCACCCCTCCATGGCCTCTGCTGCACTTCCTGCCTTCAGGTTCCCACCTTGAGTTCCTGCCCTGACTTCCCCTAGAGATAGAGTATGTATGACCTGAGGGTTGTGAGCTGAAATATACCCTTTCCTCCTCAAGTTGCTTTTGATTATTATCACCACAATAGAAGTCCTAATGAAGACACCAGGTATTCACAGAACACTGTAGAAAAAGAAAACAAGGGTAAAGGTGGCTGACTTCATTGCTCTAATGAGCTCTAACAGTTGTTCATTCTCATCCAGTTCATTGGGTGGCTTTGTTTATTTCCACATCCTAATTAGAGTGAACATTGAAGTCTTTCCAGCATCGCTGAAGGGGTCTGTGTCAGTAAAAAGGAGACTCTATGAGGGCACAGGTGTCACTTACTTCTGCATTGTGGTGCCCAGTATAGTGCCTGGCAAGTTGAAATCAGTGTTTAATAAATGATTAATTAGTTATAAGATGGAGGCATTCTGAAAGTGACTGTGAGAGTCTTGGAAGGAAACAGATGATGCTGGAAAACTTAGTTATTTCAGAAGCACTTCATCTCATGGGTGTTTTCCAAAGGTTGGGGCAGAATCTAAAACCCAGGCTTGTAAAGTGTCCCTGGGGCAGTGAGAGCCAGGGCCAGGGCCAGGGCCAGCACCACCTAAGGTCTGGAGAAGGTTGCACATGCCTCTGGATATCTGAGAGTTGCTGGGAAAAATGAACTTCAGAACTCAGGGAGAGTCTCTTAAATTTTCAAGTTTTCATTTATGTGTATCTGTATCTTTATATATGTGCATGTATATGTGTGTTGTACTCAAGGAGACAAGGTGTCAGATCCCCTGGTCTCACTGCAATCTGCAAGAGTAGCATGCTCTTAACCATGGAACCATTTCTGGTTTTTGTTCTTCAATCCCCTTCCTGCAGGCTCTTCCCTTTGGCTGACCCACCAGAATCCTAGCATCAGGAAAACCTCCTCAAAGGCTTCGGCCCTTCAAGCCCTCGGCCACAGGGCAGGGTGGACTGAGCATCTTAACTGTGTAGGCTATTCTAGAGTCTTTCATAGTCCCCAGAAGAATTGTGCTTACTGTTTCCAAGATAATCAGGAAGTGTGTTCTCTGTGGATGTTAAGGCTTTCAGGGAAACAGGCTTCCAGAGGAATATCACAGTCTGTTTTGGGTTTATAATGTCAAACTATTGAACTAAATGATCATGAAAGTTTTACACAATAGATCTATTTTAAACAATTTAATTATGCTACTTGTAGTACTTAATGTACCTTTTATCTATGTTAAAAATGAGTCATTGAGACTTATAATGTTATATAAACATAGTTCTTATGTCACAAGTAATTGCTATCCTGCTCAGGAAGGAAAAAAAAAAAAAACACTACAGAGGTGTTCTTATTGCTTATGATAAAGGCACTCAGGAATTCTAAAGGAACTGTTGTTTGAAAACAGTTGAACAAATAAATTGTTACATTTTAAATCATGAACCATCCAAAGGGAAGCCCTTTGAATAAGGCTAATAATAGAATAAATGTCTGAGGATCCGAGTTCCAATCCTGACTAATGAGCTTGCTTGGGGGCCAAGTTCAACCGTTTGAACTCAGGGTCCAGCAAAGCAGGGCATCTCCACTTGTTGGGTTATACCAGGGAAAGATGTCATGCTGTAACAAGGAGAAAGAGGTGGATTAAAAAGAACTGTGCAGCCAGCCGTATTTATCGAGAAGAAAGAGGTGACTGGAGACAGAAACTATGCAGGGTTTTGTGTAGGTGTTCTTTCCCCTCCTCCAGCCTTCCTCTGGCACTGTTATTCTAAAAGAGAAAAGAAATAAACTACCAGAGACAGTTTAAGTTTCTGAGATAGGCAACTCAGACCAAAAGAAAGGAAAAAAAGTTATAGTGACTGTAATTGTGTTTTCTCTTTAGAATCTACCGTGTTCATTCCCCAGTCGGAATACTCTGTTGAAGAAGATGTGGGCGAGCTGTTCATTCCCATCAGGAGAAGTGGAGATGTCAGCCAGGAGCTGATGGTGATCTGCTACACACAGCAAGGTAACTCCATTGCTGAGCAAAGTGGACTAGCCCGCGTGTGCCCATCAGCCTCTGGCTGGTGGAGCCCTGAAGAACTGGATGTTAAGACATTAAGAACTGTGCTTTAGTATTGTATTCTAGGGTCTTCTTTGTGTCAGTCTAACAAGACGCTACTGCTGCTTCCCTCAGGTCCAGTTTAAGATGGTAGGGAACTAGGCTTGGGGATTTAGCTCAGTGCAGAGCACTTGCCTAGCAAGCACAAGGCCCTGGGTTCAGTCCTCAGCTCTGGAGGGGGTGGGGAATGGCAGGGAACCAAAGGCCCACTCAAAACTTCCAAGTCAAAGAGAGTTGTTTAGAGGTAGGATCTGGTCAGTGCTGCAGCCTTGCAATCCTAGCATTCTCACACAGCCTGGGCTGTCTCAGCCTATCTTAGCCTTCAAAAAAGCTCATTGGCTTCCCTACAATGCCAAAGGCTATGAATTTTATCCTTGGTACAATACGAAAAGAGAAAGAAATAGACAAAATGATGCATATCTGAGGAGACACTAATTTAAAGCTGGTTTGACTGGTAACAGTAGAATCTTAGTAATCTGCCTTTGCTAAGTATCAGTCCAAGATATAAAAAACAGAAAAACAAGTATGGTTGAATCAAAAACCAAAACTGACACAGGTATGCCTCTTATATGTGATTATAGAGCTTTATTAAACTCAAGGCCATTTGAGCAATGAGTTATAGACAAATCATTAGCAATTGGAAATAGATCAGTGAATTACAGACAGATCATTGTCAATTAGAAATGGATTCTAAATTACTCTGCATTTTTCCTGAAGATATCTTCTTAGATTATATGAGAAAGGAAATCAATCGTTTCCCTGGGCATATGATTTTAGACATAATTACTGCTAAAATGACCAGGATAACTAATCTAACATGTTGATATTTGGTGATTCTGGAGAGACTCAAGGATTTAGAACAGTGACTGAAAGCCGTATATATCTTCTTGAAGTGCTTTAAGGCTTCCATAAGCATTAAACTCAATTCTAAAAATGCTGTCAACTTTAAAGAACAGTAAATGAATATTTAAAATTTTAGAACTAGTTAATAATCACTGCAAAGGAACTTCAAAGTACTGTTTTGCATATATATGTATATGCAAATATATATATATATATCCCATGAAAGTCAAATTTACATAATACAAATTTAAGATTAATGTACAAAAGTCATTGGCATACCAAACAATTTTCTAGAAAAACAGAACAATAGAAAAGGAAAAGTTACACATGCCATTATTGTCAGGTCAGGCTTTCACAGACATTTCCATTAGTACATGTGTGATCTGAAAAGCAGGACAAAAGAATGATTCATAAAAGACTCAGACTCAGCCTTGGGACCCAGGACACAGAACTAGTGTGTTGACTTCTGAATGCCTCACTTCCCCAAAGCCTAAAAACCCATTTGATGCATAGAAGGACTAGGCAAGCACAGAAAGTCCATGGCCTGGTCCTAGACATGGGAAACATTTGAATAGTGGAAGATATTATCTTCCTTGTTGCATTGATTTGAAAGTTTGTTGGAGGGAAGGCAGGAGAAAGCATTAGAAAGCCAATATTTGCCATGTGTGAGGTCATTCTGAAGGAGACCTGTGGTACTAGAACATTCTGTAGGTGTCATTGCAGTTCTGGGGTGTTGAAATACACAGTTGCATCCGTTAAATAATGAATATGAAAACCATATGTCTGGAAAGAGCTGTCCAACACTGAAGTCTTTTGTGTTCTCTTGACCCATAGGGACAGCAACCAGCACTGTGCGGACATCAGTGCTGTCTTACTCCGACTACATCTCCAGGCCTGAGGACCACAGTAGTGTGGTCCGCTTTGACAAAGATGAACGTGAGAAAATGTGCCGTGTGGTAGTAATTGATGACTCATTATACGAAGAGGAAGAGACTTTCCAGGTCCTTTTGAGCATGCCCATGGGCGGGAGGATCGGTGACAAGTTTCCAGGAGCCAAGGTGACCATACTGACAGACAAGGATGACGGTGAGTTTTGATTATCTTACCTGCGGTGGCAACACCAGACATGGCTTTCTATACAGAAAAAATAGCAATCAGATACAATCACGGGGTGCGTGTTAATTCTCTGCCAGATTTTATAGTGACTAAGAGTCATCAATCAATCACCCCTCTTTGCTGATATAATGTTTCCGCAGCCAGTTTTCTCTCTAGGACCTCTTTACAGGGCCTTCTTTTTCCTGGCTTTAATCCAAGCGTTTAAACCTGTTTTTCAAAGAAACCCATAAGAAGGGCTATCAAATGGATCACTGGGTGGGAAACAAATATATGGGAAGTTAAGTCTCAAGACAAGAGGAGTTGATATACTAGACCACCCTTCCCCAGGGAAGCCCAGGAAAAGCAAACACCACCTGAAAAAGTTTGCATTTCCATGTGAGGAGAGAAAGGGCAGGGATAGATTGCAAATGATCTTGTGACCCAAGCAAAGGGCGGAAGCAGACAGCATGCCCTCCCCTCCCATGGACTGTTTTCTGTGTCCTTCCCATTTTCCCCATGGCAGATCAAAGAGGGTGAGCCGTGTTGTTGGAGCAAGAGTTGCAGGAGAGTCAAAAGCCCAAATGATCCTAAAACTCAGGGAACTGAGAACAATCTGCCAAGAAAGGTTTTGGATAACTGAAGTGAAGAAGAAAGCATGAGACAAGGCCAGTCAGGGGTCCCCCCAACCTGTGTCCCCTGAAGTCCTTGTTTTCTCCTCTAACAGTCCTCTGAATTACAGAATGAGGCCTTTTTGTGATTGTTTGAAAGGTTTAAAAACACTGACCATAAATTCGGGAGTGACTTTTAACAAAAAGGCATAGAAGAAAAATCTCTCTGAAGTTTAGATAATATCTTTTATTTTAAAAAATAGTCCTGTAGTGCTTCATTTAACCATGTTCTGTATTTGTCCATTCTTAAATTTTTTAATTATGCAGATGAGGGTGCGCTTGAGTGCAGGTCCCCAAAGAAGTCAGAAGTGGTGCTCAGGTTCCACCGGAGCTGTAGTTACAGATAGATATGAGCGGATATGAGCAGATATGAGCAGATAGATGAGCAACAATTGTAGGTGCTGTGAATTGAACTTGGATCCTCTGCAAAATCAAGATGCATCTTAACCGCTGAGCCATCTACTCAGCCATGTTCTATATTTAAACCAAGAATAGGGATTTTATTTCAAATGGAATCATTCTTAGAGAGGCAGTAGTATAAATGCCCAGAATAAACCTAAGAGTTTGCATCAAATTCCCATGTACCATCTGGCCAGCTCTTTTTCTTGCATTGTCTGCAATGGTTTAGATTGAGCAGGACTTAATTTAAAAACAGAGACTAATTGATGTCTACTTGAATCCAGCTTCTTGTTTCTGTTTTCAAAAGTCTTTTGGTGTGGAATTCTATGCTATGCACATGGGAAAGACACAACGTAGAAGGGGAAAATTTCACATATGTGTCACTAAATCTTAACAAGAACCAAGAGTGATATTCTTCCCCCAGTTCCATGGGTGAGATAAAAATTTAGACGTATGAGGTGGCTATCTGGCTTGTGTTTACATGGCTAGTACACATGGGGAAATGGCATTAGGGTTCCCAATGTATGTGCCTTCCATGCACTGTTTTCTGGAAAATACCTTCTTATAGCGAGGCAAAAGAGCAGTTGCCAGAGTCCTACTGTAGAGTCTTTTGTAGAACATTTATTTTGTGAACCTTGGCACTGAAGGGTTAAGGTTTGAGGGCAAACATTGTGCCTCCTCAATAGCTCTGAAACCACAATCTCATTGATTTGCTAGCCTGCTTTCTCTGCCTGACTCTTCCCTTCCATCCCTGCATGGCCATCCTAATTCAGACTGGCAGCTTTCTTTATAGATTTTAGAAACTCTTTTATTAAGGCAAGCCCAGTTTCTAGTCGAGTGCTTTATTTTCAGTCTTCAGAAACTATTATGAAATTCCTTTGACCTACAAGGAAGGAATTATCCCTGGTTCCTGTAAGTCAGTAGAAGAACAAGGTACCATAAGGCTTTATTATTGCACCCCAGGGTTCAAATTCAGCTGACAATGTGGTATTCAGCTCAGCAAGAACTCACTTCAGCGTAGCTTAAATAATATACTTGCTAACTTTATCTTACAATTCTTTGGGGAAGGTTTCAGAGATTCTCAAATGATGATGCCTGGAAGCATGTACTTCACAACACTGTATTCAACGATCTGATGTTTCAACATTGTGTTATGACTCTTTCATTAGATGTCACCCCTTCTTAAAACTGATGACGCTGACCTGCAGCCACTGAGACCTGCACTTAGAGCCCCAGCTGACAGTTTTCATTCACTCACCGAAGTTTACCCTTTCTCTAGACTGTTCTTGATATCATGTTGTCTTTATCTTCTGCCATATGGGACCTTAATCTGGTGCTGAGTGAAAACACAAAAGCATGCACCCATCTCTCTCTCTCTCTCTCTATCTACCTACCTACCTACCTATCTATATCTAGTGTGTGTGTGTGTGTGTGTGTGTGTGTGTGTGTGTGTATACTTTGTTTTAAAGGAAAATACTTTAGTCACTGTGGGGTCCATGATTCTATACCAGAAAAAGAAGATGCAAGGAGTTGCAAGCAGATGTGATATTATTTATGCACTCCGAGCCAGATTTTGAGAACATCTAGATAAGCAAACAACTAGAGTGAGATGCCACAATGGCCGTGCCTGTGCTATGGAAATGGGCACAACAGATGAGGCATTAAGTAACTGATTTTGGTTTTTGAGACAGGATCTCTCTGTGTAGCACTGGTTGTCCTGGAGCTCTGTGTAGACCAGGCTGTCCTCAAACTCAGAAATCTGTCTGCTTCGGCTTCCCAAGTGCTGGGATTAAAGGCATGCACCACCATTGCCTAACTAGTTAACTGTTTCTGAATGAGAAAATAAATTGCTTTATAATTTTGTAACTCAGGGAACTCTGAATCTTCTGAAGCAAGATTGTCCGTCTGTGACAATATAAAATGACATTTTTGTGTTCATTGAGTGGAAGACAGAGATGAGGATGGTGGGGGCTTCTCTTATGGCCAAATCCCTGAAAATCTCCACTAGGACCAATAATCTCTCTGTACTAATGATGTTTAGCTGTCAGGGTGTAGGGTGGGGAGCACAGGGCTACAGAAATACATCTGTCTAAATCTGTACTGAATCACTAAGAAACAGCTAAACCTGTTATTTGAAAAGTCTGACACATTACAAATCAGTGATGTGTCTGAGGTTAGGAATATTCAGGCATCCTATGCGTTCTCCATCAGCATCTTCAGTGTTCTGTCCTTCGGCAAGTTACCATTAAACACTGCAGTATTGGTTCCTAACTGTCAGTCTTTGGAGTACATGAAGGAACGCTGCTGCTAATTCATTGTCTGCCTTTGTGTGACAACTGTCACGGGGCTTCACTAAAGTGGCTATCTACCTTCACAACCCTGGAAAAGTTACTGTGCCAGACAGAAAGTAGGGGCTTGTAAATAAATGGCTATCAAATGAGCCCTGTGGCAAATGAATCAACAGCTTAGGATATTAGAATCAAAAGCAGAAATGCTTTTGCAGAAGAAAAATTTTTTACGCTAGAAAAAAATGCATAATGTGGATAAACTTGTTTGCATTTGTGCAAAACTGGAAGACCTGCTTGTCTCCTTTTTTCCCCCTCTCCTTCTTCTTTTTCTTAATCTTAAACACAATTATTTACATTAGTATAAGATCCAATTAAGGGATACCAGCCTGTTGATGCAAGAAAGGGCCAGATTCAATTAAGGTAATAACTTGACAAACATATCCTGCATTAAGTATGCCTGAACTAAAACACCATTTAAAATAAAGAAATGGGTGTGGGGGACAAGTTTGTAATTGCTTAGACTATCCTTGAGTTGTTTCCATTACTACAATCACACTGGCACCATAAGTCAGTGAAAGCCAAAATGTGTGGGCACAGGAGTGGTGGCTGAATGGTAGAACTGGAGAGGTTCCCTCCTCCATAGACAAGATGCTACACCAAAGTGAAATCAAATCAGAGAGTAAATGAGATACCTGGTCCTTTAAGAAAGTGTAAGGACTCAGTGAGTACTTGTTATGAAGCCCGTATCACTTGCTATGGACACTGAACCACTTGACACGGGTCAGTAACTTCCGCAACTTAAAATCTGTCTCTTCAGGGTGGGGCCGAATATATAAAAGGTTAAATGAGAACAATTTATAACGATATTTGAAATAGTAGAAAGGGAGAGTGAGAAAGCAGGTTGTGACTAAACACAGTTACTTTGTGAGTCACAACTCGTAAAACCTTGAAAGATGAAATGGATTCAGGTAAACAGAGAACTAGGCTAATTATGGTTGGACTTCACAGCTAAATCAAAGGGAGTAATGGGTTACGGAACACTGAGGAACCCAGTTGACTGGGCTGCAATGTTTTAAGAAAGCTATTGGTGGAGAACTACAGGCAAGAATGGCTGTTGAGAGGGAGAATCAGTCTTCTCAAGCCAGAAGCCCCCTGTTAGGTTATTCAATCCAACCAGGTAGCCATAGACACATCTACATAACAGTAACACTAAATGGACCTAGTAGGCTATATTTATATATGCACATTATATATATATATATATATATGTATATATATACACACATATATATATATAACCTATGTATAACAATAATAACCAAATACAAAGTGAGATTTGAGAGATAGTCCAGGGAAAATATAGGAAGAAGTGGAAGGAAAAGAGAGGGGTCAAAATAATTTAAATATAGTACTCAGGTACAAAATAAAAATTAAATGAAAAAAAGGTTTTCTGCCCAGCTCTGCAGCCAGAGTCCTGCACTCTCTGTACATGCCGCTCCTGTCTAGCAGGTGGCTCTTGGCCTTGTGAGCAAGCCCCCCATTTGCTCCCCTGCTTGCTTTCCTCATGTGAAGCATGCTGTCCCTGGGCTGGCTCAGCTTATAGCATTTTGTGGAGATTAGGCAACATGATCTTTAG